GGCGGCCTCCATTGATGTGACGGTGATGGGTGGTGGGTTGAACATGTCTTTAGGGGGGACAATGCGCTCGGATGGAGAAGGGGTATGCTCGGAGTCTCGGTCGGCATCTTCCTCAAGATTCTCCTCTTCTTCTCTTGACGAGGATTGATCCTCCCAGAGTGAAGGGTCGAACGACAAGGGGATCTAGGAAAAGTGGCTGTAAGTCGGCTAGTAACTGAGTAAAACGTGCATTGCCCGAGAGGTGGGGTTAGCTTGGCTGGAAGACCAAACCTTTAGCAAGTCCTCAAATCTGATTTCGGACTTCAAAGGCCGAGTAGAGTCACATCGACAACCCTCTGCAAAACTAAACAGTCAAGGTTATTAATGATGACGAAAAGATGCCGAACAAATCTTAGGGTATGTGCAACACACCTTCATCCCTCTACACTTTGGGGCAGTACAATCTATCATACTTGGGTCTGTTTCCTTTCTCCCAACTCTCACCGAGCATGATTAGATCGTCCACATACCCCTTGTCCAAGTCGGGCATGTGGGTCACCAAGTACATTGAATTGTCTCAGGCCTGGAGGTAGTACCTGCCCCTTGTGACTAGCCTTAAGTCGTAGCAAAATAGAATTTCGTCTACCCTTAGGTTCACCCCTAACTGAGCGTTAAGGGCAACTACACCCATGACTATCCTAAAGAAGTTTACGCCGCATTGGAGAGGGACAAGCTTCAGTTGCATTAACATCCTTAGTAACAGGGGTGAAGGGGAAATGTCGACCCCCATTCCATGATAGTCTTTGTCTAGAAAGACATCATGTCTACACTTCCTAGGTCCCTTCTATGGTAAAGAGAATTGAAGGGGAAGGTGAAGACAGGCTCGGGAATTCAGTACCTAGGCCTAAAGGCATCAATGTTTTCATCAGTGACCTTAGTTCTCCTGAGTTTACGGTTAGCCCTAGCCCTAGGAGGTGCTCCCTCAACTGTCCTATGGGTCCTAGCCATTGGAGGGTTCTAAAAAGAAGTATAGAAGAAATGTAGAAGAAATGAGAAGTAGACCCAAAAGAAGGGAAGTACTTACCGGTGATATACCTTCAAGAAGGGAACTCGGAGGATAACAGAAGAGTGCTCGGGAGATGGAAGAAGAATGCTTGGGAGTTGATCGCTGAAAGAGAATTCAGAGTGCAAAAGTTCTGAAATAGCTCAAGTATCTCCTATTTATACCCTATTGGAAGGGGCGGGGATCGAGAAGGCAGGTCATCATTAAGGGATTTCAAAAGGCAACGTCGGATGTGCAAGAAACCGTTCCTATTAATGAGGCGTGTTCGGTAAGCCTCCAGTCTCCTTGCGTCACCTATCCCACACCGAAAAAGAATGGAGGTTGGGGGCAGTTGGCGGGACTTTGGGCTGCTCAGCAAGCAGCCCCTAGATCGACACGTGTAAAATTCTAGTAGTTATGGAGTCTAGAGGATGCTGAGGAGTGAAGCCGAGAGATGATGACTTGGAGGAGCCGAGTACACAAGCTGATACCCGCATTTAATGTGACTTGACCACTCATTTATGGCGATGTGAGTGATGGAGACAATGCAATTAATAAGCCCATGCATCCTCAGAGCCTAGGCCTGCGGTCATGATGGCTAGGCATTAATTGCTACTACGCCAAGCATATTTCCTCGGTGTACTCAGAGATACTGTTCTCCCGAGCATTGAACACTCAGTAGTAGGTGTCTGGCATCGATCATAGACACTTGAATGCTCGGAAATAGCCATAAGTGTTCGGAGTGTCCCCGAACACTTGTCCTATCATTCTAATATTAAATATGGGAAGATCTGGGTGGAGAACATTAATATCTTTGTCGGTAAAAGTGTTAGGCATTGAATGTTCAGATGAGACTTGAAGTCTATGCACTCATTGCTATTCCAGGTATAAATACTCTCCAAAAAAATAAACAAAGGTACGCAACATTGAACTACGATACATGATACATTGTGTTCAAGCCTCCAACCTTATATTGACTTAAGCTTCAGAGGGGATAAACCGGGTGTTCACCCGACTCATTTTTCTGACCCTGTGATTGTTGTAAGTTCGCCAGACTGAAGGTCGCTATCTCAAATTGTTGCTAAAATTCTCCCGTGCATATCCTATTTCACATTGCCTCATAAACTATCACGTTTTTCACTTTGCACTTTCAGTAATTGTTATTGGTTTTACATTACCACTTGAATATCATGTTTCTCGCATTACATTTTCAATTATGACTATTGCTTTAATTGTAGACATTAAAAAAGTACATTTTACTATACATTTGGACATTTTTATCCAAAATGTGTTGGATGTTTGATGTTAGGACAATGTGAAATCAATTCAACTAATTAAGGGAAAAATGTGAGAAATTTGATAGTAAAAAGGTGCAAAGTGAGATTAGAAGCATAGTGAGATTAAAGTAAATTCTTGTTTTTCATGTAGCACCTCAAACAATAGTTATCAATTTTGCATTACCTCTTAATTGTACCTTTCTCATGTTACATCTTTAACTATGACTATTGATCATACATTATACCAATTTTAGATATTAAAAAAATATATTTTACGATATTTTTGGACATTTTCCGTCCATCCTTTGTCTGATGTTTGATTATAAAATTAAAAAAAAAATTCAACTAGTTAAATGAACAAAGGTCGGCGGTGCCACCTATTGAGGAGTGGTTTGAGTTTACACCATTCGAGCTAACCGTATGTTACTTATTTGAACTAAACGGCTTTTTGACTAAGAAATATTCGAGCTAAGTGTTCGTCAACCCTATGAAATTTCCAAGTTAAGTCCTTATCAACTATGAATATCTAAGCTACCTACCCCTTCCATCAACAACCGAATATCCTAGTAAAGTGCTCGTAGACTAAGGAATTAAAGTTTTATTTTACCAAAACTAAAGTGCTTTTTGACCAGTACAATTTTGAAGTTTTACTAAAATTTATCTTTACTGCTATCCTCTTGTCACTTTCCATTCGGTCAACCAAATCCAAACCTAGGAATTTTTTTTTTACCGTAATCGATTGCAACAGTGATTTAAGCTTAATCAATGAGGGTAGTGGCCTGATAAAAAAAAAAAAAATGAGGAAGGAGAATTTGGTACAGGTCATTCTGATGAGAGAGCCACCACAGGCTAATTGTTTTCTTTTTAATAATCTGAACAATCTTTTTGCAGTGTAGAGACTAAAACTCTTTGGAATAAAAAAGATTCCATTTTGACTGACCCCTACTAATATGGAAAGAGTCCACAACTCATTGTTTCTACTTCACGTGCACCAATGGACAACCAAATGAACACGAAGAACAAGGTGATGCTATTTTGCCACGGTCATAACGTCTTGCATGACATTTTTATGAAATATGACTTTTTCTTTATTTTTTTTGGGGGGTATGGTGGATAAAGGAAAGGGAAGCTTCGAAGCTACTAGTTTAGGGCTTGTCTGTGGACTAAAACCAACCTTGTATGGGTCCTATCAAGGTCTTATTCCTTTGGACTAATTACAATGAAACCCCTTGATGTTGCTAACATTTTCATTGCACCCCTTCCTATTTTCTAAATTATTCTAAAATCCTTTGATGAAGAAAAATAGGCAATCCAGATGCTGCTGTTCATCTTACCATCAATTATTCTAAATTTTTAATTATCTTAATTAAATCTTTAAGTTATTAATATTGTGTCAATAAAATCCTTTTCTTCATTTCTCTCATTAGAACCAATGACGTGGATGACAGATGACAAATACTTGGACTTGTCTCTGTTGGTTCTAACGAATGAAATAGGTGGAATGATTTTATTGACATAAAATTTATAATTCATTGACTAAATTGATACATTTAAAAATTATTTTAAAATCAAAGACAAAGTTTAAGGATTAATTATGATATTCTTTTAAAAATAATGTTATCACACTCTCATGAAAAATTAGCGATAATTCTATTTTCAAGTTGATCAAGTTGCGTGTAGACTTGGGGGAGAGTATTGAAGATACAAGATATACACCACCCTCACCCAAACCATAGATAGAATAACAACTTCTTTATTCATGACTCCATATATTGCATAATAGTAGTCATACTCATATAAGGATGGAGGCATAAATTTATGTTTGGGAACTATTATTATAGAATTCAAACCAACAATCTGGATTGTATAAACATTTTAGCGATTCAAACTTTCAATGCATAGAAATATATCGACTGTGTAAATATATTTAATAAAAAACCATGTGGTAATACATATTCATAAGAAGAAAATGAACACAAGAAATAGTTTCTAATCCATATCCTCTTAGTCGAGAAAATTGTCATGTGGGAACATGCCCTATTGAAGGCTAAACAATTCAAAGAAAAATGCACGACCCCATAATCAAAAAGAACCCAAGTCTAACATTTTATATATACAGTAAAAACCAAGAATTTGAACTACCCTTCGGAGTTAGATAGAAGGCAATGGAGTCCCTCAAATACTCAATCTACATAGGCCTTTTAGGAAATGTCCAAATCGACTGTGACTACCGAAATTACACATGAAGATTTCATGGGATAATTGTGAATGTAGATTTACGGTTTATAAAATGTTGAGACAATATTTTATTTAGTTGAATTGAGTAGACCAATGAAATCTCGTATGTGTGTGTCGATAGTAGTATTCTTGTCTCATTTCTCAATCTTAAATTAATTTATCCACATACACCATTAATATCTTCATATGCAAAATTTCACACACTCAAGCAAGCAAACTAACATGATCTCTAGGTTACAAACCTCTACAAAATCAACCATTTTGTGAGATGTAAGTAAAATGTTTTGAATATGAATGTAAACTTACAATTACAAGGGTCAGAACCAAAAAAATGAAAAAAATCAGACCGCCAGGCATACAAAAGCAAACCAATTCGAGACTTCTTAGACATATTTATTATCTCCTCCAGGTTTCGACCAATAATTTAACTAAACAGTTCTTTCTAATTTTGACGGATCTTAATTTCATTGTGTATTTTTCATCCCAATAGTTTTCACAATAAAAACACGGACCTCGCCGATGTACCCATCGCGGCCGAAAGACCGCCGATAGTATAACTTGACAGTAAGCATGGTGCCATCTCGCTGGACGGCCGATTTGCTTAAGATGTATTTGGCTCGAAAGTTCCAGACAGGATTTGTTTTGCCGTTCATGTCGACCGGATTTTCAGCCACTGTATTGGCGTCGTCTTTAACTTTAACCCTTGCGTAGACTTTCATCTTGCCAAATAGTCGTCGTAAGTCTTTGGTATTGCTAGCTGAGTGAATGTGATCTTGTATCATAAAAAACTCAATTATAATTGATACGTGAGCAAGCGAGGAAGCTTTTACTTACACTTGTAACTATGGATTTATAGATCGAACCTTGTATGTGTGGACATTTCTATGCTTTTTCTCATTTGTTGCCTTTAATTAATCTATCCCAAAATTCTATCATTCTCAAACAACCTAAGTAATATGTTGTACAAACCCAGATAAGATCAACCATTTTCTGGGAGGTAAGACAAAAAAAGTACAAGAAACGCCAACCGCACAAAAGCAAACCAAAGTCGAGAACCAAGAAGACAAGTCAATCTTCTTCATCGGATTCAGATTTTATTATTACACTTCAGATCCTATTTGAATTTAAGAAAGTTAAAATCCCAAACCTTAAGTTCACAACAAGGACTACGAGTACCGACCTAAATCGCAGTCGCAAGTAAAATTTGCACAATTATTTGCACAATTTGCACAATCTCATCATCCAGTCACAACCCGTAGTCTTTGTGTTGGTCATCCTTGTAAACTTATATGAAAATTTAAGTAGTTGCATTGGATCTGCAACAACGCGCGTCTCAAATACTTCATCACGACCTTGATTTGAACGTTGAAAAAGTTCCTTCAGCGGAACCCTAACCTCACCGATATACCCATCGCCGCCGCGAGACCGCTTATAATATAACCTGATGGTAAGCATGGTGTCATCTTGCGGACGGAAGGCCGATTTGTTTATGATGTACTTGGCCTGAAATTCCCATACAGGATTAGTACCGCCGGTCTTGTCGACCGGAGTTTTAATCAGTGTACTGCCGTCGTCGTTAACTGTAACCCTTGCGTAAACTTTCATCCTCCCAAATAGTCGTCGTATGTTTTGAAGATTGCTAGCTGATTGAAGATTCAACTCGAATTTTACGTAGCCCATGACTGGTTTTTCGTTTTTTTCTGGGCAAGAATGAAGTATTGAAGCAATGAAAGAAGAAGATAAATAGGAGAAAAGTAATGGTTGGACAGTTGGACTAGATATTTGACAAGTCGTCTTGGAGAACGAGGCTTTGACCTTTCTCCTCAGAACTGAAGCTACGTTTGGTTAGCAAGCTTATGGTGGAAAATATGGGAAAGGGAAAAAAAACAGATATTTTTCTTGTTTGTTTAGAAAGAAACTGATGCTATACTTTTTGGGATAATGTTATTTTTAAAACCAAATAGTGATATTAATATATCAAAAAATTATTTGTGGTTAGAAATGTATAATTAATGCATTCGTAGTTATTTAATTATGAAATTAATAAAGTAAAGCAAAATAATAAATTAAGATATAACTTTACATATGACATATTTTTATTGATTGAAAAATAATTGCCTTACTTTTTTATGTTTGGAACTACCAGTCTTTTTTTCTTTTTTTTTTTAATTAAGGGGTGGGATAAACGAAAACATCCAGAGATCATCTCAATAAACCCTCATTGGTGGGATCATAAGACCTTTGATTGTGCCCGTTACACTTCTCGAGAATGAACTTATCTAAGTTAGCATATCGATCAACTACCGAGCCTCAATATGAACTCCAAGACTCAAACTTCTAATTTAGTTATTCTCTACCTAATTGTTGAAGTATTATATCTCCCTCGAATTATCGCCTGAAAATTCTGGACTTTGTCCACACTTTTTTCCTTCCTATCCCTTTACTTCACTAACCTCCTATTACAAAAATACGAAGTATTGTTTTGTTACATTACTTAGGGAAAAAAAACTTTTGGACTTGATTATTATTTTCATTATGACAAGGAGAAATTGGAGTGAGAATAACAGGATAATATGGGAATGCAACTTGATGATGCACAAATATATATATGCAAAATCAATCACAGATCTGATGGTGTATGTGATGGGTTATGATCAACACAGTAAAAGACACAAATTAGATAATTTGGTCTAAGTGACCTAGTCCACGAAAAATAGTTATGATGGCCAGAGAATCTTATTATTAAGGTATGTAGAGTTCTTAGATTTGTATGATGCCCCTTTGTATAAGTGGAGCTTATAATTTATATGTGAGACCTAATCATGCATTTCACATATATTAGCATAATTATGTGGACTAATTGTAATTTGTCAAGACACAAGGTGGGGGTTCACTTTTAAAAAATCTAATGCATGTGTGGGTGTGGGTGTGGGTGTGTGACGTGTGTCTGTGTGTTTGACTAAGCGTAGAAAAGTGTGTGTGTGTGTAATGTAAAGAATACAGGGGTGTGTGTGTATTACATATAGAATTTAGTGTGTGTGTGGGCGCCTGGTTCTTTATTGGAACCGTGAGTGGGAGTGAACAAGAGGGGAAGGAGGAAAAATATTTGTGGTGGGGCTCTAGGACCGTGAGCAAAAAAAAAAAAAAACCGGGAGAGGAGGGTAAAAACAAAGAAAAGGAAAGTATGTATGATTAATTTTGGTATGCATATATATATGTAGAGGTTGTTTTATTTTAAATTAGTAGCTGTTTTAATTTATTTTCATGGACTGTTTTGGTTAATTTTAATGAGCTGTTTTAGTGTAATTTCAAAGCATATTTTGGTAAATTTAAATTAAGTGTATTAAACATAATTAGTGGGTTGTTTTGTGTTAAAATAATGAACTGTTTTATTTTAAGTTCAAAATAGATTTTATTAAGGGTGTTATACAAAATTTAACGGCTATTAAGAAGGGTTATTAAATGGGTACTTAATCGAGTGTACGAAAAGTGTATAAATGATCATTTGAGATATTCAGAAAGTATTTAGTGGACTAGGTTAAAAACAAAAAATTTGGAATGAAATGGGTGGTTTAAAAGCTCAATTAGGGGCTGTTTTGCATTGATTAAATGTGTATGTGAATTTAAGTGTAGTGGTTTTAAAACAAAAGTATGATAGAAATTGAAAATGGGTATCGGTAATGTAAAAATCCTAATTTCTAAATATTATTATTACATGTGTGAATTTTAATCCAAATGACCTAAAATTTTGCATGCTGCATTTTTAATTGATGATTGATGTGATAATGTAAAATTCGAATGCAAATGAAAATAATATCCGGTGTGAAATGTATGAAATGCTGGAAGTGTAGTTTTTAGGATTCGGGGTCGAAATGTGTAAAAATAGACCCCCCGGTCAATGTGTTTAACCTACTTAATCCTAATTGTAATTAATGTGAGTGATTTTAAAGATTTGGAGAAGAAATATGCCCCTAAATCTAATGTGTCAGTGTGTGAGTGAACAGTGCGTAATCGAGGTTACCGAGACACTTTGGGTGCATTATTTTGCATGCATTAGTGCATGATTAACTATTAAGTGTAATAAACATATTGATATTATAATTACAAATGTGTTAAGTGCAACAGGTGAAATAGTCGGTGTTGGAACTAATACGATAACACCGGAAGGATCCACCAATAGAACCGAAAGACCGTAGATCGGTATATTTGAGGTGGGTGTATATCTTTATATATTTTGAAAATGCTATTATAAGATGATGTTAAATGATAGAATTTAATAGTATTTTTCCAGGATTAGGTGTTATGTGCTTATGTGATTGGATGATGCTTTGTATTGTGCATTGTGTATTGTGTATTGTGGAATGTGACGCACTGTTTGAGACAGGAGCATCGGTGCCTGATCACTGGGCGTGCAGTGGTGTGCTAGCACTGTGGTGTTTTCGGGAGGTTCGGGAGACACAGATCCATGTGAGATCGATTACCCAACGAGGGGTAATATGAATTTATTGTGGCTTGTGAATGCTTTAAAATTGGATTGATGTTGTTGTTTGATACATGTATTTACCTACTTCTGTGTATTATTATCATTATTATTTCATATATGACATGTATACTCATTGAGCGCGTGGTTTAGCTCACGCTCCTATAACTTCTCATTTTCAAGTATAAGAGAGGGAGACACAAATCAGTCCACTGTCAAATCAGTTGAGTTTTATACAACGTTAGTATGATATTAGTTTTAAATGAGTAAATCATACTGGTTGAGGGACTGTATAATTATTAGTTGGGTTGCATATTATGTTAAATAAAACATTATTATAGCAAGTTAACAGTATATATTTGTAAACAGACTCAACATGCATACTTTGTGATGTATGCTATGTGGGTGTAAGATTTTGTATCTGTTTATAACCTCAGAAATAAACAATTGGTACATGTATTATTTATGATACAAGTTATGAGACAGGTTTACCATCATACTTATTAACTATGGTGATGGGTGGTATTGTTACACCTATAGGATTAATTAGTGTTTTATTAATTTAGATTCTATATATGTAAACAGGTATATCAAAGACCTAGTCGTGTCTCATCCTTAGGAGACCGGGATGGAACGTGACATTATACATGAGTAACATTTCACAAAGGCTCTGAAGGGAGCCTTGATTGAGTTGTCATAATGGGGAGTAGGGTGGTTTCGTAAGGCCGGTGTCATCCTTGTAACGGGCAAGGTGATTTTGTGAAGTTGGCGATGCGCACCCCGATGACTACGTTTCACGATTCCCTTTCTAAGATGGAAATCCCCACGTGTGTTAGTAATAAACTGGTCTTCCAAGGTGGTGTGCTTGACCCAATTGAAATTGTCAGGAGCTTTTGTTGGTTTGTATCTATGACCTAGGCCTAACTTTCATCTGTGATTTGAACCTAGTCTGCATCTGTGATCTGAGTTTGGTCCAAGCTGGACCTATCATTTACCCCCCATGCCCAAAGTCCAATGTGTTTTGGAGGAGAGGGCATCAATAATAATAAAATTTTCTTTCTACTTTTTTACCCTTCCTTCAAGGTATTGACTATGTTGATTTTCAATTATTCTCATTCTCCATGCATCCTCTTGTCGCAAACTCTTTCACTTTATAAACAGTCATGGTTATTATTTTAATGTTTGCCTGAGAAGCTTGAGAGGTCAAGTTTCGACAAGGCGCAGACGTTAGTAGCAAGGAGGCGAGGAGCTAGCGGTTGGAGGCGCGGATGCGTGAACGCCAGGAGGTAAGGTGCTAGTAGCAAGAGGCATGGACACTGGCACTAGTGCAGGTGGCGAGGAGTTGCGAGGGTGCAGACAGCAAGGCAACGGACTCAGGAGGTCGTAGTGGCAGAAACAATGTTACCCAACATCCACTGCGATACAAGCAATGTGGTAGCCGTTGATGACGATGGTCAAGGTGAGCACTATTTCTAGGACTACTGATGCTGAGATTGCTAGGATCGTCTCTACTTGTTGTATTCCCTAGCTGAGATGGATGAGCTGGCGTCTGATGACTCTTCTGGAGAAATTGCTATCTACAAAGAGGTGCTAGAGGCAGGTTTGAGATTTTTGATTCCTATCCTTGTATGTTGTGTTTTGGCACACTTGTCGCTCGTGTTAGAGTGACTGGCCCCTAATTTTTGGAGAGTTTTACTAGCGTTTCTTGTATTGTGGCAAAGGGTACAAAATCTTACTTTTCTTGTTTCCATTCAACTTTTGTGAGGGCCCACCAACGTGTGCAAATATCGAGTACTCTTTGGTCCCTCTGTTGATCGCTCGAGGAGGGGACTTGTTGGCTTAGGGCCTGGTCCCTTGGTGGGATAATAGGGTCCCCGGATGGTTGGGGATGCGACGGAGGGGGTGGTTGCCTTCGTGGTGATTCTGGCGGTGGGATAATCGGGGCAGTATTTGAAGGCCCGACAAGCCCCGAGAGTCTGGTTCTCCTCGCCCCGATGGCGGCCTCCATTGATGCGACAGTGATGGGTGGTGGGTTGAACATGTCTTTAGGGGGACAATGCGCTCGGATGGAGAAGGGGTATGCTCGGAGTCTCGGTCGGCATCTTCCTCAAGATTCTCCTCTTCTTCTCTTGACGAGGATTGATCCTCCCAGAGTGAAGGGTCGAACGACAAGGGGATCTAGGAAAAGTGGCTGTAAGTCGGCTAGTAACTGAGTAAAACGTGCATTGCCCGAGAGGTGGGGTTAGCTTGGCTGGAAGACCAAACCTTTAGCAAGTCCTCAAATCTGATTTCGGACTTCAAAGGCTGAGTAGAGTCACGTCGATAACCCTCTGCAAAACTAAACAGTCAAGGTTACTAATGATGACGAAAAGATGCCGAACAAATCTTAGGGTATGTGCAACACACCTTCATCCCTCTACACTTTGGGGCAGTACAATCTATCATACTTGGGTCTGTTTCCTTTCTCCCAACTCTCACCGAGCATGATTAGATCGTCCACATACCCCTTGTCCGAGTCGGGCATGTGGGTCACCAAGTACATTGAATTGTCTTAGGCCTGGAGGTAGTACCTGCCCCTTGTGACTAGCCTTAAGTCGTAGCAAAATAGAATTTCGTCTACCCTTAGGTTCACCCCTAACTGAGCGTTAAGGGCAACTACACTCATGACTATCCTAAAGAAGTTTCCGCCGCATTGGAGAGGGACAAGCTTCAGTTGCATTAACATCCTTAGTAACAAGGGGTGAAGGGGAAAGGTCGACCCCCATTCCATGATAGTCTTTGTCCAGAAAGACATCATGTCTACACTTCCTAGGTCCCTTATATGGTAAAGAGAATTGAAGGGGAAGGTGAAGACAGGCTCGGGAATTCAGTACCTAGGCCTAAAGGCATCAATGTTTTCATCAGTGACCTTAGTTCTCCTGAGTTTACGGTTAGCCCTAGCCCTAGGAGGTGCTCCCTCAACTGTCCTATGGGTCCTAGCCATTGGAGGGTTGGAGGGTTCTAAAAAGAAGTATAGAAGAAATGTAGAAGAAATGAGAAGTAGACCCAAAAGAAGGGAAGTACTTACAGGTGATATACCTTCAAGAAGGGAACTCGGAGGATAACAGAAGAGTGCTCGGGAGATGGAAGAAGAATGCTTGGGAGTTGATCGCTGAAAGAGAATTCAGAGTGCAAAAGTTCTGAAATAGCTCAAGTATCTCCTATTTATACCCTATTGGAAGGGGCGGGGATCGAGAAGGCAGGTCATCATTAAGGGATTTAAAAAGGCAACGTCGGATGTGCAAGAAACCGTCCCTATTAATGAGGCGTGTTCGGTAAGCCTCCAGTCTCCTTGCGTCACCTATCCCACACTGCAAAAGAATGGAGGTTGGAGGCAGTTGGTGGGACTTTGGGCAGCCCCTAGATCGACACGTGTAAAATTCTAGTAGTTATGGAGTCTAGAGGATGCTGAGGAGTGAAGCCGAGAGATGATGACTTGGAGGAGCCGAGTACACAAGCTGATACCCGCATTTAATGCGACTTGACCACTCATTTATGGCGATGTGAGTGATGAAGACAATGCCATTAATAAGCCCTGCATCCTCAGAGCCTAGGCCTGCGGTCATGATGGCTAGGCATTAATTGCTACTACGCCAAACATATTTCCTCGGTGTACTCAGAGGTATTGTTCTCCCGAGCATTGAACACTCAGTAGTAGGTGTCTGGCATCGATCATAGACACTTGAATGCTCGGAAATAGCCATAAGTGTTCGGAGTGTCCCCGAACACTTGTCCTATCATTCTAATATTAAATATGTGAAGATCTGGGTGGAGAACATTAATATCTTCGTGGGTAAAAGTGTTAGGCATTGAATGTTCAGATGAGACTTGAAGTCTATGCACTCATTGCTATTCCAGGTATAAATACTCTCCAAAAAAAATGAACAAAGGTACGCAACATTGAACTACGATACATGGTACATTGTGTTCAAGCCTCCAACCTTATACTGACTTAATCTTCAGAGGAGATAAATCGGGTGTTCACCCGACTCATTTTTCTGACCCTGTGATTGTTGTAAGTTCGCCAGACTGAAGGTCGCTATCTCAAATTGTTGCTGAAATTCTCCCGTGCATATCCTATTTCACATTGCCTCATAAACTATCACGTTTTTCACTTTGCACTTTCAGTAATTGTTATTGGTTTTACATTACCACCTGAATATCACGTTTCTCGCATTACATTTTCAATTTTGACTATTGCTTTAATTGTAGACATTAAAAAAGTACATTTTACTATACATTTGGACATTTTTATCCAAAATGTGTTGGATGTTTGATGTTAGGACAATGTGAAATCAATTCAACTAATTAAGGGAAAAATGTGAGAAATTTGATAGTAAAAAGGTGCAAAGTGAGATTAGAAGCATAGTGAGATTAAAGTAAATTCTTGTTTTTCATGTAGCACCTCAAACAATAGTTATCAATTTTGCATTACCTCTTAATTGTACCTTTCTCATGTTACATCTTTAACTATGACTATTGATCATACATTATACCAATTTTAGATATTAAAAAAATATATTTTACGATATTTTTGGACATTTTCCGTCCATCCTTTGTCTGATGTTTGATTATAAAATTAAAAAAAAAATTCAACTAGTTAAATGAACAAAGGTCGGCGGTGCCACCTATTGAGGAGTGGTTTGAGTTTACACCATTCGAGCTAACCGTATGTTACTTATTTGAACTAAACGGCTTTTTGACCAAGAAATATTCGAGCTAAGTGTTCGTCAACCCTATGAAATTTCCAAGTTAAGTCCTTTTCAACTATGAATATCTAAGCTACCTACCCCTTCCATCAACAACCGAATATCCTAGTAAAGTGCTCGTAGACTAAGGAATTAAAGTTTTATTTTACCAAAACTAAAGTGCTTTTTGACCAGTACAATTTTGAAGTTTTACTAAAATTTATCTTTACTGCTATCCTAGTTGCCACTTTTCATTCGGTCAACCAATCCAAACCTAGGAATTTTTTTTTTACCGTAATCGATTGCAACAGTGATTTAAGCTTAATCAATGAGGGTAGTGGCCTGATCAAAAAAAAAAAAAAATGAGGGTAGTGGAAGGAGAATTTGGTACAGGTCATTCTGATAAGAGAGCCACCACAGGCTAATTGTTTTCTTTTTAATAATCTGAACAATCTTTTTGCAGTGTAGAGACTAAAACTCTTTGGAATAGAAAAGATTCCATTTTGACTGACCCCTACTAATATGGAAAGAGTCCACAACTCATTGTTTCTTCTTCACGTGCACCAATGGACAACCAAATGAACACGACGAACACGGTCATAACGTCTTGCATGACATTTTTATGAAATATGACTTTTTCTTTATTTTTTTTGGGGGTATGGTGGATAAAGGAAAGGGAAGCTTCGAAGCTACTAGTTTAGGGCTTGTCTGTGGACTATCACCAACCTTGTATGGGTCCTATCAAGGTCTTATTCCTTTGGACTAATTACAATGAAACCCCTTGATGTTGCTAACATTTTCATTGCACCCCTTCCTATTTTCTAAATTATACTAAAATCCTTTGATGAAGAAAAATAGGCAATCCAGATGCTGCTGTTCATCTTACCATCAATTATTCTAAATTTTTAATTATCTTAATTAAATCTTTAAGTTATTAATATTGTGTCAATAAAATCCTTTTCTTCATTTCTCTCATTAGAACCAATGACGTGGATGACAGATGACAAATACTTGGACTTGTCTCTGTTGGTTCTAACGAATGAAATAGGTGGAATGATTTTATTGACATAAAATTTATAATTCATTGACTAAATTGATACATTTAAAAATTATTTTAAAATCAAAGACAAAGTTTAAGGATTAATTATGATATTCTTTTAAAAATAATGTTATCACACTCTCATGAAAAATTAGCGATAATTCTATTTTCAAGTTGATCAAGTTGCGTGTAGACTTGGGGGAGAGTATTGAAGATACAAGATATACACCACCCTCACCCAAACCATAGATAGAATAACAACTTCTTTATTCATGACTCCATATATTGCATAATAGTAGTCATACTCATATAAGGATGGAGGCATAAATTTATGTTTGGGAACTATTATTATAGAATTCAAACCAACAATCTGGATTGTATAAACATTTTAGCGATTCAAACTTTCAATGCATAGAAATATATCGACTGTGTAAATATATTTAATAAAAAACCATGTGGTAATACATATTCATAAGAAGAAAATGAACACAAGAAATAGTTTCTAATCCATATCCTCTTAGTCGAGAAAATTGTCATGTGGGAACATGCCCTATTGAAGGCTAAACAATTCAAAGAAAAATGCACGACCCCATAATCAAAAAGAACCCAAGTCTAACATTTTATATATACAGTAAAAACCAAGAATTTGAACTACCCTTCGGAGTTAGATAGAAGGCAATGGAGTCCCTCAAATACTCAATCTACATAGGCCTTTTAGGAAATGTCCAAATCGACTGTGACTACCGAAATTACACATGAAGATTTCATGGGATAATTGTGAATGTAGATTTACGGTTTATAAAATGTTGAGACAATATTTTATTTAGTTGAATTGAGTAGACCAATGAAATCTCGTATGTGTGTGTCGATAGTAGTATTCTTGTCTCATTTCTCAATCTTAAATTAATTTATCCACATACACCATTAATATCTTCATATGCAAAATTTCACACACTCAAGCAAGCAAACTAACATGATCTCTAGGTTACAAACCTCTACAAAATCAACCATTTTGTGAGATGTAAGTAAAATGTTTTGAATATGAATGTAAACTTACAATTACAAGGGTCAGAACCAAAAAAATGAAAAAAATCAGAACGCCAGGCATACAAAAGCAATCCAATTCGAGACTTCTTAGACATATTTATTATCTCCTCCAGGTTTCGACCAATAATTTAACTAAACAGTTCTTTCTAATTTTGACGGATCTTAATTTCATTGTGTATTTTTCATCCCAATAGTTTTCACAATAAAAACACGGACCTCGCCGATGTACCCATCGCGGCCGAAAGACCGCCGATAGTATAACTTGACAGTAAGCATGGTGCCATCTCGCTGGACGGCCGATTTGCTTAAGATGTATTTGGCTCGAAAGTTCCAGACAGGATTTGTTTTGCCGTTCATGTCGACCGGATTTTCAGCCACTGTATTGGCGTCGTCTTTAACTTTAACCCTTGCGTAGACTTTCATCTTGCCAAATAGTCGTCGTAAGTCTTTGGTATTGCTAGCTGAGTGAATGTGATCTTGTATCATAAAAAACTCAATTATAATTGATACGTGAGCAAGCGAGGAAGCTTTTACTTACACTTGTAACTATGGATTTATAGATCGAACCTTGTATGTGTGGAGATTTCTATGCTTTTTCTCATTTGTTGCCTTTAATTAATCTATCCCAAAATTCTATCATTCTCAAACAACCTAAGTAATATGTTGTACAAACCCAGATAAGATCAACCATTTTCTGGGAGGTAAGACAAAAAAAGTACAAGAAACGCCAACCGCACAAAAGCAAACCAAAGTCGAGAACCAAGAAGACAAGTCAATCTTCTTCATCGGATTCAGATTTTATTATTACACTTCAGATCCTATTTGAATTTAAGAAAGTTAAAATCCCAAACCTTAAGTTCACAACAAGGACTACGAGTACCGACCTAAATCGCAGTCGCAAGTAAAATTTGCACAATTTGCACAATCTCATCATCCAGTCACAACCCGTAGTCTGTGTGTTGGTCATCCTTGTAAACTTATATGAAAAGTTAAGTAGTTGCATTGGATCTGCAACAACGCGCGTCTCAAATACTTCATCACGACCTTGATTTGAACGTTGAAAAAGTTCCTTCAGCGGAACCCTAACCTCACCGATATACCCATCGCCGCCGCGAGACCGCTTATAATATAACCTGATGGTAAGCATGGTGTCATCTTGCGGACGGAAGGCCGATTTGTTTATGATGTACTTGGCCTGAAATTCCCATACAGGATTAGTACCGCCGGTCTTGTCGACCGGAGTTTTAACCAGTGTACTGCCGTCGTCGTTAACTGTAACCCTTGCGTAAACTTTCATCCTCCCAAATAGTCGTCGTATGTTTTGAAGATTGCTAGCTGATTGAAGATTCAACTCGAATTTTACGTAGCCCATGACTGGTTTTTCGTTTTTTTCTGGGCAAGAATGAAGTATTGAAGCAATGAAAGAAGAAGATAAATAGGAGAAAAGTAATGGTTGGACAGTTGGACTAGATATTTGACAAGTCGTCTTGGAGAACGAGGCTTTGACCTTTCTCCTCAGAACTGAAGCTACGTTTGGTTAGCAAGCTTATGGTGGAAAATATGGGAAAGGGAAAAAAAACAGATATTTTTCTTGTTTGTTTAGAAAGAAACTGATGCTATACTTTTTGGGATAATGTTATTTTTAAAACCAAATAGTGATATTAATATATCAAAAAATTATTTGTGGTTAGAAATGTATAATTAATGCATTCGTAGTTATTTAATTATGAAATTAATAAAGTAAAGCAAAATAATAAATTAAGATATAACTTTACATATGACATATTTTTATTGATTGAAAAATAATTGCCTTACTTTTTTATGTTTGGAACTACCAGTCTTTTTTTCTTTTTTTTTTTAATTAAGGGGTGGGATAAACGAAAACATCCAGAGATCATCTCAATAAACCCTCATTGGTGGGATCATAAGACCTTTGATTGTGCCCGTTACACTTCTCGAGAATGAACTTATCTAAGTTAGCATATCGATCAACTACCGAGCCTCAATATGAACTCCAAGACTCAAACTTCTAATTTAGTTATTCTCTACCTAATTGTTGAAGTATTATATCTCCCTCGAATTATCGCCTGAAAATTCTGGACTTTGTCCACACTTTTTTCCTTCCTATCCCTTTACTTCACTAACCTCCTATTACAAAAATACGAAGTATTGTTTTGTTACATTACTTAGGGAAAAAAAACTTTTGGACTTGATTATTATTTTCATTATGACAAGGAGAAATTGGAGTGAGAATAACAGGATAATATGGGAATGCAACTTGATGATGCACAAATATATATATGCAAAATCAATCACAGATCTGATGGTGTATGTGATGGGTTATGATCAACACAGTAAAAGACACAAATTAGATAATTTGGTCTAAGTGACCTAGTCCACGAAAAATAGTTATGATGGCCAGAGAATCTTATTATTAAGGTATGTAGAGTTCTTAGATTTGTATGATGCCCCTTTGTATAAGTGGAGCTTATAATTTATATGTGAGACCTAATCATGCATTTCACATATATTAGCATAATTATGTGGACTAATTGTAATTTGTCAAGACACAAGGTGGGGGTTCACTTTTAAAAAAATCTAATGCATGTGTGGGTGTGGGTGTGGGTGTGTGACGTGTGTCTGTGTGTTTGACTAAGCGTAGAAAAGTGTGTGTGTGTGTAATGTAAAGAATACAGGGGTGTGTGTGTATTACATATAGAATTTAGTGTGTGTGTGGGCGCCTGGTTCTTTATTGGAACCGTGAGTGGGAGTGAACAAGAGGGGAAGGAGGAAAAATATTTGTGGTGGGGCTCTAGGACCGGGAGCAAAAAAAAAAAAAACCGAGAGGAGGGTAAAAACAAAGAAAAGGAAAGTATGTATGATTAATTTTGGTATGCATATATATATGTAGAGGTTGTTTTATTTTAAATTAGTAGCTGTTTTAATTTATTTTCATGGACTGTTTTGGTTAATTTTAATGAGCTGTTTTAGTGTAATTTCAAAGCATATTTTGGTAAATTTAAATTAAGTGTATTAAACATAATTAGTGGGTTGTTTTGTGTTAAAATAATGAACTGTTTTATTTTAAGTTCAAAATAGATTTTATTAAGGGTGTTATACAAAATTTAACGGCTATTAAGAAGGGTTATTAAATGGGTACTTAATCGAGTGTACGAAAAGTGTATAAATGATCATTTGAGATATTCAGAAAGTATTTAGTGGACTAGGTTAAAAACAAAAAATTTGGAATGAAATGGGTGGTTTAAAAGCTCAATTAGGGGCTGTTTTGCATTGATTAAATGTGTATGTGAATTTAAGTGTAGTGGTTTTAAAACAAAAGTATGATAGAAATTGAAAATGGGTGTCGGTAATGTCAAAATCCTAATTTCTAAATATTATTATTACATGTGTGAATTTTAATCCAAATGACCTGAAATTTTGCATGCTGCATTTTTAATTGATGATTGATGTGATAATGTAAAATTCGAATGCAAATGAAAATAATATCCGGTGTGAAATGTATGAAATGCTGGAAGTGTAGTTTTTAGGATTCGGGGTCGAAATGTGTAAAAATAGACCCCCCGTCAATGTGTTTAACCTACTTAATCCTAATTGTGATTAATGTGAGTGATTTTAAAGATTTGGAGAAGAAATATGCCCCTAAATCTAATGTGTCAGTGTGTGAGTGAACAGTGCGTAATCGAGGTTACCGAGACACTTTGGGTGCATTATTTTGCATGCATTAGTGCATGATTAACTATTAAGTGTAATAAACATATTGATATTATAATTACAAATGTGTTAAGTGCAACAGGTGAAATAGTCGGTGTTGGAACTAATACGATAACACCGGAAGGATCCACCGATAGAACCGAAAGACCGTAGATCGGTATATTTGAGGTGGGTGTATATCTTTATATATTTTAAAATGCTATTATAAGATGATGTTAAATGATATAATTTAATAGTATTTTTCCAGGATTAGGTGTTATGTGCTTATGTGATTGGATGATGCTTTGTATTGTGCATTGTGTATTGTGTATTGTGGAATGTGACGCACTGTTTGAGACAGGAGCATCGGTGCCTGATCACTGGGCGTGCAGTGGTGTGCTAGCACTGTGGTGTTTTCGGGAGGTTCGGGAGACACAGATCCATGTGAGATCGATTACCCAACGAGGGGTAATATGAATCTATTGTGGCTTGTGAATGCTTTATAATTGGATTGATGTTGTTGTTTGATACATGTATTTACCTACTTCTGTGTATTATTATCATTATTATTTCATATATGACATGTATACTCATTGAGCGCGTGGTTTAGCTCACGCTCCTATAACTTCTCATTTTCAAGTATAAGAGAGGGAGACACAAATCAGTCCACTGTCAAATCAGTTGAGTTTTATACAACGTTAGTATGATATTAGTTTTAAATGAGTAAATCATACTGGTTGAGGGACTGTATAATTATTAGTTGGGTTGCATATTATGTTAAATAAAACATTATTATAGCAAGTTAACAGTATATATTTGTAAACAGACTCAACATGCATACTTTGTGATGTATGCTATGTGGGTGTAAGATTTTGTATCTGTTTATAACCTCAGAAATAAACAATTGGTACATGTATTATTTATGATACAAGTTATGAGACAGGTTTACCATCATACTTATTAACTATGGTGATGGGTGGTATTGTTACACCTATAGGATTAATTAGTGTTTTATTAATTTAGATTCTATATATGTAAACAGGTATATCAAAGACCTAGTCGTGTCTCATCCTTAGGAGACCGGGATGGAACGTGACATTATACATGAGTAACATTTCACAAAGGCTCTGAAGGGAGCCTTGATTGAGTTGTCATAATGGGGAGTAGGGTGGTTTCGTAAGGCCGGTGTCATCCTTGTAACGGGCAAGGTGATTTTGTGAAGTTGGCGATGCGCACCCCGATGACTACGTTTCACGATTCCCTTTCTAAGATGGAAATCCCCACGTGTGTTAGTAATAAACTGGTCTTCCAAGGTGGTGTGCTTGACCCAATTGAAATTGTCAGGAGCTTTTGTTGGTTTGTATCTATGACCTAGGCCTAACTTTCATCTGTGATTTGAACCTAGTCTGCATCTGTGATCTGAGTTTGGTCCAAGCTGGACCTATCATTTACCCCCCATGCCCAAAGTCCAATGTGTTTTGGAGGAGAGGGCATCAATAATAATAAAATTTTCTTTCTACTTTTTTACCCTTCCTTCAAGGTATTGACTATGTTGATTTTCAATTATTCTCATTCTCCATGCATCCTCTTGTCGCAAACTCTTTCACTTTATAAACAGTCATGGTTATTATTTTAATGTTTGCCTGAGAAGCTTGAGAGGTCAAGTTTCGACAAGGCGCAGACGTTAGTAGCAAGGAGGCGAGGAGCTAGCGGTTGGAGGCGCGGATGCGTGAACGCCAGGAGGTAAGGTGCTAGTAGCAAGAGGCATGGACACTGGCACTAGTGCAGGTGGCGAGGAGTTGCGAGGGTGCAGACAGCAAGGCAACGGACTCCGGAGGTCATAGTGGCAGAAACAATGTTACCCAACATCCACTGCGATACAAGCAACGTGGTAGCCGTTGATGACGATGGTCAAGGTGAGCACTATTTCTAGGACTACTGATGCTGAGATTGCTAGGATCGTCTCTATTTGTTGTATTCCCTAGCTGAGATGGATGAGCTGGCGTCTGATGACTCTTCTGGAGAAATTGCTATCTACAAAGATGTGCTAGAGGCAGGTTTGAGATTTTTGATTCCTATCCCTGTATGTTGTGTTTTGGCACACTTGTCGCTCGTGTTAGAGTGACTGGCCCCTAATTTTTGGAGAGTTTTACTAGCGTTTCTTGTATTGTGGCAAAGGGTACAAAATCTTACTTTTCTTGTTTCCATTCAACTTTTGTGAGGGCCCACCAACATGTGCAGATATCGAGTACTCTGATGAAGGATTGACAAACACATCGAGTTGTAGAGGAGGAGTAAAGGGTGGCTCGCGAGAGAACTGTACCTCTTGAAGTCGAGCTTTTGACGACTCGTAAGAGAGCCACTAAACTGAAGATTGAGACTGGGGTTGCTTGCGCAAGAGTAGATGCAGCGTAGCCCAAGATTTTGGCTACTCACGAGAGAGCCGCTAAGCTAGATGGTGAGACTAAGATTGCTTGCTACAAAGTTGTGAATAACTCACGAGAATGCTACTAGAACTGAGGTAAAGTTGCGGGTAGCTTATTAAAGGGCTACTAGAGCTAAGGTGGAGTTGTGGTTAGCTCATGAGAGGACTACCAGAGCATAGACTCGGTCTTTGGAGATGGAGAAGAGGAGGGAGGCTATAGAGAAGGCTATCCATGA